AAAATAAAATAAACTTGCCGCCCAAGGATCGATATTAGAACTTTTATTAATGTATCGACGCCTGTTATATCTCCAAGTGAGGCTAAACGCTGTCTTTACACTGTTTATACGAACTAAAATGTTCGTTGCTGACGCTACAATCAGTTTTAATAGATGGGTTATGTCATGTGTTCACTTCGTGATACCCGCAGGCGGTCTCGGGCTTTCCACACTTTCTTGACGCCCCACGTAGAACAAAGCTATTGATTTTAGCAAATGTTAGAAGATTAATATTAAATATTAGCGTTTAAGATAATTCGTTACAGTCACAGTAATAAAAAGCAATTAAACAAAACAAAATTCTCGTGTCACAATGTTCGTTCCCATACTCCTCCGAAACGGCTCGACCGATTCTTATAAAATTTTCTATGCATATTCAGTAAGTTTGAGAATCCGCTACTATATTTTTTTCAAACCCCTAAGTAATAAGGGGTGTCCACCCCAAAATTAAATTTTTTGTTTTTTAGAAAAATTTTCTTGTTTTTATTTTTTTATAATACAACATACAAAAATGCATACAACCCCTAATATTTATTATAGTAGATAGTTATTTTTATTGAACTAAAAAAATGTAATCTAGAAATAATATACATGGCAAAACAACGTTTGCCAGATCAGCTAGTAATGTATCTTGAACGTATTTTAATTTAAAGGATAAAACAATTTTTTTAATTATTGGATCTTTCTGTGTGCCCACTATCTCGTATAATGAAGAAGTCAGCCACCCACTTATCTATGGTAAACTCAATGAGATATGCCAAAATACGAGGAAAAAAGAATAATACCACATGTGTAATAAAAAAATATAAAGTTTTCCCACAACTAAATTGAAGACGGCAAATCCACTTACATGTACACATAGGCCCGCTTCTTTTCCTTTTCATATGCTTCGTAGCACGCACAGAATACAAATATTCTCTGTTCAAAATTATCTGTCAAGTACAGAAGTCTTTTATCTACGTCAACATTGGCTTTTATTAAGTGGCAGCTAGGTGAGGGGTACCGGGTTCGATGCCCGGTTCGAGGGCAAGTTTTAATTTAATTTAAATTTGTTCTCGGCCTTTGGGAGGGTTGTGCGGTCGAATTTCTAAGGCAAAAAGCACGAATTATAAAAATCCTATACTTGACACTGGCTAATGCACAAACCGTGCCAGAGCCATAAAAAAAAACATTGACTTTTATTGAGCTACAGTGCCACATACTTTTCTTGGCCGGTAGAGCGTCGCTGTCATGGATATTAGTATTGCCAGTAAATGAAAATTAACCCTTATAAGGGGAATAATTTAAAGCCATGCAGGCTAACTTAATATTTTATTGTAATGTCTTAATAAACAATGTATACTAGTATCTAGAAAATACAGAACAACTGATAGGTTTTGTTACCTGTACTATTAATATAATATGTTTTAAGAAACAGCAATCAGAACCGTTCGATAATTAAAACTTTGCCATTGTAATTAATAATGCAAGGAATAAAAGTAAATACATTTTATTGGATTTTTATTAGATGTTGGTAGAAAAATTATTTATTGTACGCACCATGAAATTACAGAAAATATACAATGTCAGTCTGACATTTCAAAATGGCGACGGACTGGCCACTGAAAAGTAGTGCTGCTGTTGACAGCTTAAAGCTGAGTTGGGCCCATTTTTGATTTAAGTATTGTGTTTGTATTTATTTTATACATAATACATATGTGAACTTTAATCAAATAAAGGTGTTTTTCTTTCTAAAAACAATTCACGTTTCAATTTACTCATGCTTTCGTAACTAATCATAACGTTACATTGACAATAAAAATGTGTGAAAAATGACTGTGGGCATTTTCAGCAACACCTTAGAGACCTTTCCCCGAGTCGTTTTAGAAACATTGTTGTGTTAATTTGCTATTATTAATATTTTGTTTATTCCTACATAATTATGTATTTACATTGTAATTGAAATTGTCGGCTCATTGGTCTAGTGGTGGTAGTAGCCCTGACTGCGAATCCATGGGTCCCGGGTTCGATCCCCGGATGAGACAAACATCGGTGTGATGAGCATTTGGTGTTGTGCTTAGGTCTTGGGTGTTTAAATATGTATTTATATGTCTATCTATCTATAATATGTAGGTATATCCGTTGCCTAGTACCCATAACACAAGCTTCACCAGCTTAGCATGTGACTAGGTCAATTGGTGTGAATTGTCCGATCATAAAAAAAAACATTGTATATTCGCGGATGCTTGGCACTACCTATGCGACTTCTTAAATACAAAGGGTCCCCTTGTGAGTTATTCGACATTACGGGCTACTCGATTGTGAGGAAGTTGCATGGATCTGGTTAGTGCTGTTAAGTTCTCGTGTAATTTTTACAGGTGTCTACCCTTTCTATAACATATTTTCATAAGTAGGTAGATACCTCAGATGATTGTCCTCTTGTAACACTTGTGGTTTTTTACAGCAACAATAAAATAAAACGTAAAAAAGAACTTATCATATTATAGTTACCGCAACATTGATAAACAAACAATTCATATTGAAAGTCAAGCAATTTATCATAAAAGCTACAAAGCAACGCAGTTATCGTGACGTTTTCTGTGATTCAGATTTAACACTCTCTTAAAAGATCTATTAAAGTTTGCGTCGTTATGTTCATAAAGAAGAAAAGAAACCTGGCCGCCCAAAACAGACCTGGCAACGAAGAATTATTGCACAGGCGAAGGAAGCTGGAATGGCGTGAAGTGATAAGAGAGCTGAGGCACGGTCAGGCTGGTTTCTCGCTGCACTTGGGTGAAATAGGATGTTAAATCAAGTCAAAAGTCAAAATCATTTATTCATATTGGTAACCAAGTTAAGAACCTCAACAGAAAAGATGTTAAATATTTTCTAAATTTACATTTACGACCAGTTCGCCAGTACCAGTACTAAAAGTCAAGAGCGTAGAGCGTCCAAGAAGAACTGGCAAGAAGCTGCAACTCTTTTTAATCGCCAAGTTTTGAGTCATACAAATTGTTTGAACAGGAGCAAATCAATCCCAAGGATAAGGATCAATTAAAATATTGATTAATTTACGTTTAAATACAAATCGATACGATATTAAGTTATTTATATTCTATATATTAGTCTAGAGATTAGATATCAGCTATTCACCATGATAAGCACTAATGGCGCCTTCAACACTTGGCAGTTAGAGCCCTCTTCAAACATGTTCAACCAGCTATATGATATTTACTGTAAATAAAACCTCATTGATATATAAATATGTAGTAGGTCACAGATCTTCTTCTTCTTTTAGTGCCTCTCCATTACTGCAGGTTAGTATTGTCCTGTGCCAGATGCAGCAACTCTTGCACAGTCGCAATTCCCGTCCACTCCCTAACGTTGCGAAGCCATGATTTCTTCCTTCTACCAACACGCCTTTGCAATTGGTGCAAAATTAGTGTACGTGCACCCGCCACTGGTGAGCGGCACGTCCTTTGCGAGTACACAAATATTTATTTAATGAGATAACATACAAAAAACATTTTCTCTCTCTTTCTTTAAATTGCTTACAATTATTTTGGTTTTTGAGCCCGATTATGTTATGCCGTACAGGCGAAAAAAATATTTTTCAACGATAACTAAACTAATAATTTTTTTTTAAACAAAATATGGATTTTCAAGCCAAGACTGTCCTTCTAGAACCAATAATTTTCGCATTATATTGATACAGTGGTATCTGTAGTGGGGTCGTTCTTACAATAAAATCAGTGGTGCTCCAACCTTTTTAGGTCTAGGCCTCACATTTCTGTATCTATTTCATAATCATTTGTCAATCTAATAGGCAAGTAGGTAATCAGCCTCCTGTGCCTGACACACGAGCGAATGCTAATGGTAAATGTCAGAGGGCTCGCGAGTGCGTTACGGGCCTTTTAAGAATTGGGACGCTCTTTTCTTGAACGACCCTAAGTCGATTTTTTTCAGCAGCTGCGGCAGCTGGTTCCACATAGTGGTGGTGCGCGGCAAAAACTGCCTTTAAAGACGCTCAGTTGTGGAACGACGGACTTCGAGGTGATACGAACCTACGATCTCTGGAATGGGAGTCGCATGCTGTAGCCACTAGGCCAACACTGCTCATTCGTACAATACAGACATATTTTTGTGAAATTTCTTGTACTTAATGTTTAAATGTTTCTGGGAATTAAACACTGCATGTAGTAAAGCTAATAGTCTCAAAACAATTTGTTATCAATTGTAGAATTCTAAGAACGCTTAAATGTGTTAAGTGGTACTCAGAAGTTATCAGATAAATCACTAGATGAGTAACATGATAAGGGAATTCATAGGAAATATTTCGATTTCACACTTATGAAAATATCAGGCTATTTCCACTAGGAATTGAAACGTAATATGTTTAAATTAAGAAAGAAAAGTCGGTTAAAATACTTAGGTAACACAGTTTTTGTATATTTTTCGTAATTATTTTAATTCTTAAAAAAAAAAGTTTTAACTTTCACGTGAAACAATTTGAATCTAACTAAAGGGTGGGAATATATAATAAATATAGACAATAATCACCAAGACACTTATATATTAATTAATAAATAATTCACAATCACAACTCAGTTGAAATGTTTTGTTTTTGACGTAACTCACACACTGTTTGACTATGTTAATTATTTTTTTATATAAAGAATAATGTAATATCTATAGTTGCAATATTTGTGTATATGTGAGCACCATGTGTAATTATATATTATTTAGTAATCTGCTGCACTGTTTTTTATAACAGTTTACAATAATGTTTTTTTCACATATAATTATCAAATAAATTTATACAAAATATTGTAAAACAATTAAAAGTATGGAGTTCTTTGCCCATTCTTCACCATATGAAACTACATTTTGGAATGGGCAACTAGTAATTCTTTTTTAATATTGACTTTGTCTTTCAAAGGGGCCTTTAAATAGGCCTAATAATAAGTGATTAGACTTTGACTTTATATTAATTTAGCAAGTATGTTATACAAAACAAGGGTTAATATCACAGGCGTTGTTATGGTAACTGCACTCGAAGTATCGCAGTCTGTCTTGTTGAAGCCCAAAGTTTCCCAAGCGGCATTTCTCAAATCAACATTTGCGTAGACTGCTGCGTTGACAGCCTCACTTTGCGCTGTCGTATATTGGTCTGATCTACTGAACTGCCATGCTCTAACTGCAATAATAATTAGAACACTTACAACGCGTCGTGGACTTTACGTTCAAGCTTGATTTAATTATGAACTAAGTTACTTTGCGCTTTGATTTAGTTCCCTTTTGAGTAGACTCTTGGCCCGTGGGGTTCAAGTGCACAGGCGTTAATTAAAGATTTAAGTTGGCGCCGTATTTAAAATAGTGCCGGTGATCCCAGGAGCTGGTGCTCCTCGCTCAACGAATGAGTATCGCAATACAGCGAGGAAATGCTGCCAGCATTAAAGATAATGTTTAAAGATATTTATTTCTCATTACAAAAAAGAATGTATTTTATTTACATGAGAAACTTAATATGTATATACGAACGAGATACACGTCGCCATCAGCCGTCCCAATTTTAGTCTACTAGGATCATGCTGATATGTATCTTTAATTTAAGATACACTGCCACGGGAACCAAAGATTTAAAATTTGTTTTGTTAACAAAAGAATATCTGATTAGCAGTGTACCCCTTGTACCCCGTGTAGGCTCACCCCTTAGGTACAAGCTAAAGGCTGGTCTTAGGCCTCTTTCTACTTAAGCTATTACACTTGATTGTACATGGAAGAGGTGATGGACAAGTATTGGAATGTAATCTAACCTAATTCGAGTTAAGTAAGGTCGCTTATTAAATACAACACAGGTTAATTATTAAAGAAATCATAAATGCAGCCCTTAATTGTTGTTAAAAGAAAAATAAGTTAGAATACATCATCTAAAATAGGCAATCATTTGCCTAACAAATAAAGACTCAGAAAAATTTTTGATTTTGCCTCGTCTAAACAAGCAAACTGCACACTTGATGATAAATATGAAACTACTTAATTATCTATTGTTTTCTGAAACCATTCAAAATTATATGGCATATTACCATTTCTCCGTGTATCATTTTGTAAGTTATTACATCCATATAGCAGAACGTATCCAATGTGATCTGTAGCCAATACTAGGCCGGTGAAAGTTTCATCTGAAACAAAATTCAAAAAGTTCTTAAATTTATATTAACCCTTCAAATTTACTCTTTAAACAAATGTAGTCGGTTTGTAGTAATTTTATAAACACTTACAACACTTAATTTTTTTTTAGTCGTTGCTTGTTTAATTTTTTCCCTTGCTAGCTTGCTTATGATCTAATACTATGATTGATGTGTATGTGTGTGTGTGTAAAATTTTTGATGTCATATTTTCTTGTGTAATTTTATGCATACACGTTATTTTAAAATTTATAAATAAATAAATATAGAATGGATTAAATAAAAATATAATTCCTATAAAATATGAATTTAAATAATAATTAGAAAATTTGGTTGGTTTATTGGCGATGTTCACGTAATTGTGAAAAAAGTTTACACGATTTAATCTGTAATCTGGATGACCTGATCCACTCAAACGAATGATAATCCCACCGGTTTATCTGATATCAGTTTTATCTGTATCTCATATTTACGGCATACTATTTTATAACTCATACCACCCCATAAATGTCGTACTTCGCATGAATCACATATAATGCAGTTTTTTATCCAGCTCATTATGCAGAGAAGAAACGTTGACACATATCGATTAACTGTGATTGGTCGAAACAACCGATCGAGTCAAGACTGGATGTAGAGACCCTATTGGTCAATCACAATCGAACGAAATGCTAATACTTTTTAAAGAGAGTTTGAGTTTTGTATGGTGGTGTAATAAATTCATTTTTTTTTCTTCTTCAGTCGCACTCTTCATTTCTGAAGATCGCTTTAGTGGCGCCGCACAACTTCCTCCAATCTCCCCTGCCTTCGGCAAGCTTCTGCGCCTGGGTGATGGTGGCCTTTGATTGATCAGTCCAGCGAGTAGGGGATCGGCATCGAGATTTAGTGCCCGCAACTCTGCCAGTCACGATGAGATTTTCTAGGCTTTCTGGATCTCTGCGTGTTACATGTCCAAAAAAATTGGAGGAGGATGCATTGATAACAAGTGTTCCTTAGCTGTTCAGGAAATCCTTTGCATCCGCCTCCAACTTCACATTCAGATTACCGTATTGTCCAGGATTCAACGATATAAAGGAAATCGGAAATACCAGTCTCTGCCAATTTCTTCTTTGTTTTTAAAGAAATGGTCCAGTCTTTCTATAAACCCAACAGTTTTGTCATTGCGTCTTTGGTCATCTGGGTTCTTCCTCGGATTTCGTTTTCAGTTCCACCTTGACAGCTTATCACGATTTTTTTCATACACCTAATTACTAATTACTTTTCGGGATTTAAACTCAGGACCAACTAGTTGTTCGTTCCAGCAAATGTATAGTCGTCTAACGAACATTGTCGACGGGAGACGTGCTTAAAATAATGTTTTTTTTTTAATTAATACATAATTACTGTCCCTAATTAAACCAAGGACCGGTAAAAAAGGGCCAATTAACAAAAACCTGAAAATGAAACGTAATAATTTACCTGAGAATTTAAAAACAAGTTGATTTCCCGACCCAGCAGTGACAGCCGCCTTTCTAGAGACGATTTTTTTGTTTACTACTTGCCGAATTTCGAATTGAGCAGAGGAAAATACACCGTTGTTAATAGTGACTCCAGAAATAGTGCTAAAGGCACATTGTCCAGTTTCATTTTCACTTGCAAGCCTTCGTAAGATGTGCCATTCTCCTTGAAGCTGAAATGTAAGATGAGAAACAAATAATTCTAAGTTCTGTTCAGCTCACGGAGACCTAAAAATACAGTGACATGTTACAAGATTTTAAAGGTTAAGAAAGGGCAGAACGTAAAATTTATTATTTCAATAGTTAGAGATTACGACGTTTTTAGCAAGAAATGTGGTTTATGGCCGTTTTAAGATACAAGTGACTAATTTATGCGCGATAATCAAAGTAATTAGCAATAGTGTTTTGAGCGTTTCATTACTGTATTTTTGCGTGTAATTAAATTCCTCATTCATTTTTTTAAAACCATTCGAGATCGACGGCTTTTCTATTAGATCCCCTAACGCGTAACAATATATAAGAAAGATATAATAGAAAAGACATTCATTCAACGCTTAAAATATGGTTTTATTAATTTCCTATTTATTTTAGATATTAACAGTGGTTATACTCGTAATATATTTTTGCACAAATTTGACCGCTCTGCAAGAATGTTTAACAGAGCCAATTTATATTAACAGGGCAAATAAATGTTTCGTTTATAGAAATAAATAGACAAAATACTACTTAATTACGAATGCTATTAAAGGTATATATATGATTTAAAAAAACTGTATGTGTGTATGTTTTTAGACTAATAACCTTGGAAAATAATATCATTGTGAAGGAAAACCACTTTCATGATCAGTTTTAATCTGTCAAATTATGTTTACGCTGTGATAAAGAGACAGGGTTAAGCAAAATTAGGACTGATTTTATGAATACCTAGACTGGATTAGAACAATTTTCCATTTTTTATTATATAAATAAATATAGTAAATAAATTAGTGCCGCTACAACATTTTTAGGTCTCGGCCTCAGATTTCTGTATCTGTTTCATGATCATTTGGGTCTTAGGCAAGCCGGTTTCCTCAAGATGTTTTCCTTCACCGTTCGAGCGAATGTTAAATGCGCACATAGAAAGAAAGTCAATTGGTGCACAGCCGGGGATCGAACCTACGACATCAGGGTTGAGAGTCGCACGCTGAAGCCACTAGGCAATTACTGCTTTAATATAAATAAATATAGTATGTTATTCAGCAGATAACGTAGCATTCTAATCGGTCCAAAACTTAATTTGTTACACAAATTAAAAGCTTTCCTTTTTGGAGTTATACTTCCTTTGGCGTGTTAAGGAAAAATTATGAGAGTAAATTTTTACGATGCACGCGCACACCGTCACAAAAAACCGACATCCTGAAGTTACCATAGTCAACATTTTAAAATAAAAAAAGTTTATTTTTTTACTTATGTAGAAATATTTTTTTGTAATATTTAAATAAACTTTATTTAACTAGATAATGCGTTATATTAAAACTTTCAATGTATTAAATACCTTTTTTTCTATTGTAAGTATCGTTTTTTCTACAAACGTAGAATAAGGCGAAAGATAAAAAATTTAAAAAGATTTTTATCTTGTTACACCAAAGAAGTATAACTTCCAACGCGTGTACATAAGTTGTTGTTGTGAAGTTGTTGTTGACACACACATGTTTTGTTTTAGTAAATGATTACTTTATAATGTGACTTTTAACATTAATATAAATCTCACCTGGGTTGCATTTAAGTTATTCACAGAATCTGTAGAATTAAAATCACAGGCTCCTTCCAACTGAAGCTGTCCAGCGACACTCGCGACAAACGTGACGATAATGAATCTATACATCTTGTAGTGAGAATAACAGAGCAACGAGTCCCTGGTTAGTTTAAATACTATCTATCTTATCTATATCAGTCTATGGACAATGAATGCTTGACTATAGATGGCTTTAAAAAGATAGTGACCGAACTTTTACTGAGGTATATATTCTAATTTCAATATTAGACTGCAATTAACAATTAATGTATAACGTTCCTCTTATTAACACCAAATATGCAAAAAAACTCAGTTTTGTATCGCGCAGCCCGGACATACAACGACCAATATTTAAGCCTTGGCTTGTTTAAGATCGCGGAATATGGAAAAAGAGTATTAAGAATATCCATAGAGGTAAATCACCTGCATCATGAGCTCACCCCACATACACAACATCGTGTACATACACTCACTTCCACACCATCAAACAACACAGCTGAATTAGGTTAGGTAAATGTATTGAATAATTTTTATTAATTTATTCCTTTTGTAAATGTTTGAACCTTTTGGTTTATAATATGTATATGTAATCCATCTTTGGCTATTTCTTTAGTGTAACTGTTTTTTGTTATATATAATTTGCAGTGTTCACCTAGTGGCTTCAGCATGCGACTCTCATACCTGTGGTCGTCAGTTCGATCCCTGGCTGGGCACCAATGGACTTTCTTTCTATGTGCGCATTTAACTTCGCTCGAACGGTGAAGGAAAACATCGTGAAGAATCCGACACGTCTTAGACCCAAAAAGTCGACGGCGTGTGTGAGGCACTGGAGGCTGATCACCTACTTGCCTATTAGATTTAAAAATGATCATGAAACAGATTCAGAAATCTGTAGCCAAGACCTAAAGAGGTTGTAGCGCCACTGATTTATTTTACGTAGGATTACGAAATAAATAGTAAATTTATGTCCGAGTTTTTGTCATAGACCCATTAAAAATAATGGAACCTACAACAGTTTTATCTTGAAATTTAATTTAATTTCCAGGTCACATACCATATGCACAATCACAAAGGAGCCTCGTACATAAAGAATTGGTTGATCCCTCCTGCCTCGTTGCAACACCGTACGTAATTCAAAATCTCATCAGCATCACCTTGATGGAAGTCTTCCACGGTCCGTTTCACAAGACATTTTCTTTTGTGAACTAGCGAACTGTGGAATTGACTCCCGGTGGGGCTCTTCCCTGGGATATACGACCTCCAATTGTTTAAAGAAAGAGTATACTCCTGCCTCAAAGGCCGGTCACTAACTAAAATGGGAGTACTGCGCGATCACTGTATTTTTGGGCGTTACATAGGCTCGTTTACTGTAAAACAAATTTGAATAATTTTACAAAAACCTGTTCACATCGTAGGGTACGAATAGCTTTCGTACTAACTGATGCGCACTTTTTCTTTTTAATGTGTCCTTTTTTTTAATATTGCCCTGTTCGATGTTTACATGTTCTAATTGCTTTTTTTCCAATCGTTTTATCTATATGTCTTATGAATGCACTTCTTGCACTTGCCTTATCTATTTTTTTTTCTTTCTCACATTGGTTGCCTGGAAGAGATTTCTCGAAAGCGATAATGCCGCCAGTTGCCCTCCTATTCATTTAATTATGTCAATTGTATTATATTTCTGTATGCAACGAAGTGATAATAAATAAAATGAAGCAACTTTAAAGGAAGTCAGAAAATTAAAGTGAACATTTTCAAGTTAGGTTTGATTAATATCAGTATCTTGCTCTGGCGCATTCCACTTGTACTCGAATCTAGTTTAGAATGCAAATTGCACTGAATTACTTAAAAGTTCCACTGCGGTTGTGGTTTAGTACATATTCAACCTTTATAATTTGTAATTTAGATTAACAATACGATTCAGTTAAAATAATAGGCATACAAATTATATGTTGCCTATTTTGTATATAAAATTTATAGTGTATTTGTATTATTAAAATAAATTAAAATGATTTTATTTATAAGCGAGGGATATTCGTTATATTGTAGTTGACTTGACTCAATGTTCCCCTAGATGGGGCAGAGCCCACTGTATCACCAGCGCGTTCGGTCTTGGGCCTCTTTTTCACCTGGCTCGGCTCATAGTCATATTGGCTCTCTTTGCCTCATCTGCAACTAGACGACGCCTGGATTACTCGGGATAGCCACGCTTCCGCTTTCCTTACCCGTTCCAATCAAGATTGGAAAGGAATGAGAGGCACTTGTGCCTGTCCACGGGAGCGGGAGGCACTTGTGCCTGCTTGGGGATATAATTGGAATCTCTTCCGAGTGAACTTTCCATTTCCACATGCGTCGCTTTATCTGATAGCTAATAATAGACTTTTTTCAAAGAGCCGGGGGAAAACAGGCAATAGGCTCCCCTAATGTTAAGATATACCCACGGAGACTCAATGCCAGAGGGTTCGCATGTGTGTTGCCGGTCTTTTAAGAATTGGTATGCTCTTTTCTTGAAGGACCCTAAGTCGAATTGGTTCGAAAATACTGATCGTATTCTTGCGTCGCGTTTACTGTGAACGAGTGAGTCATGGTCCAAAGTTAATAAACTGATAAATCTTAGGGTAGATTCCATTACTAACGCCATTGTTGTTGTCTTAATTGTATACATTGTTTACCTTTTACATTAGTTATAAATGGGCTCCATGTAGTCAGTAGTTCTTGCAGATCACTCTGTAGTGGCAGTTGGTATATACAATTTTGTTGTGTTTAAAACCAATAAATATTTATAACGTGTACTCGACTTGCTACCGTATTTATTTCAACGGCCCTTCTGACTTCCGAACATAACACATGCATTATGTATTGTGAAATATTTTATATACATTAGCCCTATTTCAAGCATAGTTAAAAAATTGTGAAGTTAAAGGAAATAGCATATTTATTTAAAAACTAAGCGATTACTGTCGATTATAACACACTAAGAACAATTCATACTGAATCCAAATTTCCCATTTACATTTTGCTAGCTGATTTATGTATTGTCTTCTAAAGATTGAGTTGAAATGCATAGCTAATCATTCTGAACTGTGCCTGTACATTATAAAACACATATACGTAGAGTTGCGACGTTGGTTTTGCTTTTGCGCACAAAAGCGTTTCATCTGACCTCAGATTTTTGTTTATCTACCTTGATTACTTATTTGCAAGTTGTAATATCTGAACAATATCTATAAGACATGCCGGTGTAATTCTATATTTTTCTGTAGGATCGGAAAGTTATATGCGCTTATAGATACAGTAGTAATATCGTGTACCTTTTTTCCTAGAATTAAGTTCACAAAACACTTGACATGCATTACAATCTAGCCTATACAATAATTATGGCAAATAATACTACAACTTAAATTAAGGTAATGTTTATTAACAGTCTTAGTGTTCTATAATGTTTTGACACTATATTCGTGTAATACCGCACTTGCATTATATTCACTACACTAGGTTTACTAACTTAAAAGGTTTAGTTATATTTAGGCGTCTTGTTCCTATTGCATCAAGATGTTGGATTGCCTCAGCATTCACATGGTTATGTAGCCCGTAGCCATACCTCGTTTGATATATCAAAAAGAAAGGCACACAATTGTCAGTCGTAAGGATATGGAAAAATTATATTAGTTTGGGAAAAATAAAAAAGGTTAAACTGATAATACATACATAACAATAGTTCACAAAACGCATAAAACACTACTACAAAATTATAAAATTGAGGACTAATAACAAATACCATTGACAAAAAGGTACTTAATCAAAATAAAAACGCAATAAAGATAAATGTCAAAAACAAAGCAGTAAGTGAATTAAAAAAAATATGACGATCGACCGAGTTAAAATATTTTAGATCACCGTCATCAAAATTTATGAAACTAAAATTATGTATTTCGAACAACCTTAATGTGTAGGACGTCGCGTCTCAATAATCAAAAAGCTGGAGCCCACAAACAAAGGCTCCACCATCACGTGAATGTCGAGGCTATGCAATTGCCACCAACGGCCTAGTCAGAAGATTGAAAAGGTGTACTTGTACATGTATTTACCATTTGAGTAAGTGAATTAGTGCTAGTGCACGTTAGTAATAAGTGCTTAGTGGTAAGTCAAAAAATAGAACACAATAACAGTGTCTTCCCTTTAATAGAGACTTTAAGTAGTGTTATTGGACACTTCCTTATGTTAAAAATCCTTTTTAGTAAATTAGGTTAGACTTAAATTACTAACTAGTATTAAGTAAGGCTAGATTGTAATGTTCCATGATGTCTTAGTGAAGACACATGTATTAATAACTAATGGTGAGGTTAGCCGTACGATCACATATCGTAAATGTTTTAGTGTGGAATTTTCTATGTGTGCACGAACCCTCGCTCGTATGGTGGAAGGCACAAAGTTGTGCCAAAAAACAGAAAAAAACAAATAATCACAACATAGATACAAAAATCTGACACCAAGAGCAAATAGTGTTGTAGCACCACTGGTTTCTTTTAGTTATTTTAAAGAGATAATTACAAGCAGATGTATGTTTATATTAGGTCCTTACATATGAAATTGGCGTATTTCGTACTGGCCACTTTAATCACGATGTTCTCCTCTTTGGTAAGGAATTCCAAATTCAAATTTGTACAGCTATTTACTCATGTACTTGTGCTTCGATGACCGTCATTCATTTGTTTTTTTCTGTTTGCGTCACTCATTTTACAAAATGGAAAACTTAAAGTATCGCATTATTTACGAGTACGAGTTTCGCCGTGGCACTAGTGCTGCGGGAACGACTCGAAGGGTGAATGACGTGTATGGCGGTCATTTTGCAAAAGAAAACACAGTTCGTTTTTGGTTCCAACGTATTCGTTCTGGAAATTTCGACCTGCAGAACAAGCCCCGTGGACGGCCTGAGACCCAAGTTGATAATGAAGTATTGAAGGCAGCAGATCCATCGCAAACCACGTCCGAGTTAGCTGCAGGCTGCGGTGTTCGTGATAAAACTGTTTTAATTCACTTGAAGCAAATTGGGAACCGTGACCACGCACGCTGTAAAGCACGCGAAACGT